TAGATAGATAGATAGATAGATAGATAGATAGATAGATAGATAGATAGATAGATAGATAGATAGATAGATAGATAGACAGACAGACAATTTATGTCTTTATTATATTTTTACATTTCCTTCTATTTGTTAAAACACTTATTGAATTAAGTGACCATAATAAGCATTTATTAAATTGGAGGGGGAAAAAAGACTTTTAGGTGTATAAACATATTATTACCCAGGTTTACAATTATAATGGTAACTAATAAAAATAAAAATTTCTATAAAATGTGGAAATTATTTATTTATAAATCGCTTTTTTCCTGCACATCTTCCTGCATTCCTCTTAACTTAATGCATCAGTTTAGTAAACGTGTAATTCTGCATAAAAGCTAAAGAATTCAGCTTTTCAAAGATATATTTAGTTTCTCTACATGCCAGTTGATGTAAAAATAATCTAACAACACAACGGACATATTTTAAAATAAATGTATAACATAGCGATGCATTTAGTGGACACTCGTGATAAAAATAAATCGCAGTTTACACCCACTACTGCTTGGTTTATTTTGACGACCAACAACTTCCGGGAACTATTTGAATCACGTGACCGTCGAGCGTCCCGGACTTCCGTCGTATCATAATTCTCCGAAAGAAGCGTTCTGCTTGCGAATAATTCGCCGCCATTTCGCGTTGTCCAGCAAACAGCTCGCGACTTACTCGAATTCGTTTTAATGTTTTACTTTTTAAGCAGTTTTGATACACGTTTTGGAATCGACCAGCAGCCCGACCATGCCGCCGACAGAAAAGAAACGCAAGGATAGGGTTACGACTGCCATGTCGGTCGCGGCCCAGAAGAGAATCGGTGATGTAGCTGCTGATAGGGACAAGCTGTATCGCTGGAGGCATGGCCACCAGGACACACTGACTAAATTTTGGCAAAATAACCCGATCTTCTATGACAAAACAAAGCCACATTTTAAGGACAAATTTCTAAAGATCCAACTTGTGCAAGAGCTGATTGATAAAAACAGTGAGGATTGGGAGAAGATCCACAGCCCTCTGCCTACTGGTGAGTTCAGCAGAACTTTACATGAAACTTTTCTAAAACTAATCTGTAAGCAATCATGACTTCAAGAGTAGGCTACACAAGATTCTCTCTGTCCCTCCAGAATGCTCTTTTTTTAATTTAGGATCCTGAGATTATTTGTCCAAGATAAGCCAAGTTTGACAAATAAAATCTGTAATGTGGGAAAATAAATCTTATTGAAATGTTACCAATTCTTGTATTTTGTACGTGTTACAGTTACTCAGGTGGAGGCACATTTACGCAACATGAGGACCAGATTTGTTAAGTTGCTGAAACTCCAAGCGGCTTCCCCTGATTTGAAGCTGTCCTTCACACAGGAGAAGATCTTGGAGCAGTACCAGTTTCTAAGGCCACATATTCAACGCAGTAGGTCAACAGGAACCCACAATGTGAGTATGAAAAAAGTAGTGTTTTAGTAAATGTGTTTTATTTAGTCTTTTTTTTTTCTATCAATATTCTTCACTTACTTTGCAATGCCTTCATTTTTTTTCCTTTGCTTGTAGTTTCCTGGTGAACAGCCTGAAGGTGAAGCTGACAGTGTGGTGAATGATGACAATGATAATGATGACCAGAACGATCAGGAGAGTCAGCAGGCCTCCACGTCTCAAACCACACAGAAATGTAAAGAAAAGGAGAGAGGACGGCCGACTTCCCTTTCACCATCTCCTGTAGCAGACAGTGAGGACGACGTGTCTGAGATGGAGGTAACCCGTATTCCACTAAGCTTATCTCTAATCTTCATAAACAAGGCAACAGATTCATTGTAATATTTGTTTCTTATTACTTATTTCTTCATCTTTTCATTTCCGTAATGTGTTTGCGTGTTTCAGATTTTGCAGCAGGCCAAGAACCTGATCTCAAACATCAGGGCCCCGACAAAATGTCAGCAGGAAAGGAAAGTCAGGGACTTCTGCAGATATTTAGAGTCCGAGCTGCTTCAGATACCTGAATCTGCATGGGATGAGTGCAGCTTCGCCATGATAAACACAGTCAGAGGATTCAAGCAAAAGACTCAGCAACCAGGTCAACTGATTTTAACACTTCAGCACGGTAAAACTTGCTATATACTTCCAAAGAAGTGAGACGTCTGTTCTCGCTCACGTGGTTGTGAGACGTTCTTTCTCTCATGGACATTTTAAACTCTGAAGAGAAACTGGCAAGTACTCGTGGTAAGCCCCTCCCACTGTAGCACACATTGTGTGTGAACAGCAACAACGTAACAAGATCACGGCTGGATAAACTAGATGGTTTTTTTTGATGGATACGTTAGAGGAGATTTGTCTGTTAAACATGGAGAAGTGCAAATTTGTTACAAGAGACTGGCACCCTTTCTATCGGACGATGCGGGAAAATGTCTTTTAGCTACAGTACCTGCAGATATCCGGCTGAGACACACTCTCTTCCTGTCACACAGATCCATCTGTGTCACCACGCCGATGTCTCCATGCACAAAAATTGTGCTCTATCCTTCCACCGGTTCTTCGACCATCTTTATAAGACTTTTTTACTTTCATAAGTTTTGCTAGAGTACTTGTAAAGATGACTGTTTCTTACGGTCTCGACCAGCTGATCCTCAGCATAGCCCTTGAAGCAAAATGGAAGCAGTGTACTTTCCTGCATAAACACAACCCCAAAGTTCTGACCAGTTAAACAGTACACATACCTCTGAATGTACAAAGCTTTGCCAAGGGGCTTGTGCACAAAACCTGTTCTCAGAGGCATCCGTAAAAGTGCTGAGAGGAAGAGACTTTGTTACCTGTTTTTGTTATTTATCATTTCTTGGCGCTTGTGCTCTGACAAGTTATTCTACAGAGCTAGAACTGTATTTAGTGAATTCATACCTATTTATTTCATTGTATGTGTGTTTTTTCATTGTAAAATAAAATATGCAGCGAGTGTTTTGTTAAAGAAAAGCCTTGTCATTTTTACCTAAACATTTTAACCTAACTTTTTATTTAATTGCTACAGGACATAGTTTTGTATTTATTAAATTTATTAATATAAATTATAATATAATAATAATGATATAAATTTCTTCTTTTTAAGATTGTTCTTTTTTCATGTACAGTGCCATGAGACAAGGTATGTTGTGACTTGGCGCTATATAAATTCCCAAATGTTCCGATGTTGTGAGATTGTCCTGGGACATGAAGAGTTTTAGCCTAGCTGTCTCCAATCCCATGGTAGTACTTTTCTGACGTTTGGTCCGCCTTGTCCTCTGATAAGTGGTATTCTGCTATAATTCCTGTCGGTAAAAGTGTGGCACAGGCTGCCAAGACAGTCTTGGTGACATGAGCTATGGCCAATTTTCTGTCTGCAGATAGATTCCCTTTTTTTATGTTTTGCTAACACTACAGAAAATTGTGTATGTGCAAATGTAATGCTTCAGTTCTGGAAGCAGCACAGTTAGGGTACTGATAATTCAAAGGTTTGGGATTGTAGCTAACAGTTCAATGATTCAGACAGAAATAAATAAACAAGCTTTATATTACCTCATGAACTTGGGCACTTATACCGGCTGGGAAGGTGGTAACCACTTAAAGCTAAAAGTTTGGCTGGTATTCATCTTAGATATTGCAATTAATATTTGAAGAACCAGTAAAATTACAGTGTGCAATGTATCAAACTGCTTTAGACCACTGTGATGTCTGGGTTTCGTCACACTTATTATCAAAGATCACAGTTAGGAACATTGAGGTGATGGCACCCTACCTCCACTGAACAAGCACTGCTTGTTTGAATCACAGTCGGTCAGCAAGAGTCTCTGACACGTTAAATTAGTAATTTCTCTGACTTTAAAGGAAAAAGGCCACTGTTGAACACCACTGTCAGCCATGCAATTATTCAAAAAGTTGAAACATAACTATGGAGTAAACATATTTTGATCATCAAATAAATATAAAATCATGGTGGGACCAAGTCATTGTTTTGCAAGTCTCAAGTCTTCATACTCAAGTCAAACCCAAGTCAAGTCTCAAAGACGGTAAAGTCAGAGTAAAGCCTCAAGTCAAGACAAATGTCAAGTCCCAAGTCTGAAACTTAGAATTTCAAGTCATTTCAAGTCATTTTTAAACAGTGTTGCAGTTATTAATATAAATAGACTGTGTGCTCTTTTTAAAATTTGTATTTATCTCAAATCATGATGAAACGTGCAGCTGAACTTATAGTACAGTATTTTAAAAATCCTTTAAAATTGCGCGTATATTGCACAGTTCAAATAAACTTCGATGCAAAATACTTTTCCTCTAAACTATAATTTTCCATTTTAATTTTTTTATTTGCTGTGCTGTAGCTCTCTCTCACACACACACACACACACACACACACACACACACACACACACATACAAAGTGTGAACAAAAGACAGTCTACCTTCATTAATAAAGAATGAGTGAAATTAATTAATGGGTCCTACTTTATAAATAATGTGTATTAAACTTTAGATTTTGGGTAAAATATGAAGTCTTCTCAAGTACACGGGGTCAAGTCCAATTCAAGTCCCAAGTCATTGGTGTAAAAGTCCAAGTCAAATCGCAAGTCTGAACATTTTTTCAAGTCAAATCTAAAGTCATAATATTAATAATGACTCGAGTCCAAGTCATGTGACTCAAGTCCCCACCCCTGCTTACTGGTACCGAAAACATTGCTTTTGTTTTAATTTAATTTAGTTTGTTTTCTGCTGGAAGTTTATTTAATCACATTACATAAATACATGTTGTACAGTCTGAAATTGTTGCTAATCTATCAATCTAATTTTGACACAAATAGCATTTAAAGAAATTTAACAAATAAACATCAGACTTTATCCATCCATCCATCCATAATCTTTACCCGCTGCTTCCTTTCAGGGTCACAGGTGCCCATATCCATCAGTCACTGTGTGAGGAGCAGGGTACACTCTGGACAGGTTGCAAGTCCATCACAGGGACACATGGAGACAATCATTCACTCTCTCTCTTTCACACACCTAGGGGCAATTTAGAGTTATCACTTAACCTAACAGTCATGTTTTTGGGCCTGTGGGAGGAAGCTGGAGTGCCTGGAGAGAACCCACACATGCATGGAGAGAACACTAGAATTTATAAAAGCCCTAATTTGTCACAATCAACATTGGCTTTAAGAAGTTAGACCCATGTTGAAGGTCCATGTCGATACTTTTACTGTTCATACTAACAGATAGCCTAGCTGCTATTAGAGCTGACATCATTACTGACCTGGAAGTGTGTTGAAGCAGTCAACCAACTGGGGAGAGATAACAGTGTTACTGTTAAATGGGTCCCAGGACATACTGGCATTAATGGTAACGAGAGAGCTGACTACCTTGCAAAAGCTGGCTGTCAGGCCCACTTTAAAGGACCAGGGGTCGGATTTATAAAGCTTGCGTACGTACAAAACAAGCCCAGAAACTTGCGTACGCCACTTTTCACGCCAAGGTTGTGATTTATAAAATCCAGACTTGACGTGAAAATGTGCGGTGCCTCAGCCAGCTCTGACCCATGCGTACGCTCATTTTGGAGACGGGAAACTGCGACACAGATGGTGAAGTGAGGAATTATAGCCACACTGTGTAATGATCAGTGTCAGAAATTTAATTTCACTTCATAATCAGACAGATTTTAGATAGACTTTAGTTTTCTTAACAGTATTATTTATACTTCTGCTGCTGAGCCATAAGGAACTTTGAAATAAAAAAACTGAAATCTTAAATAAAAGTTCACGCAACTCCATCCATCTCCTTTCTCCTCAAACGACCCTGACCCACAGACCCCTCCCCGACAAGAGACATTTCAACAGCACCACAGCAAAAAGCTTGGTTATAGTCACGCTTTTGGTGTGCACCTTCGCCAGCGTGGATGTTATAAAAGGTTCACTTTTTAATGTCCATATTTCTCATGTGCTCGGTGTGTGTGTGTGTGTGTGTGTGTGTGTGTGTGTGTGTGTGTGTGTGTGTGTGTGTGTGTGTGTGTGTGTTTGTGTGTGTGGAGACGATCAGTCGTAGATAACAGGAGGGGGAGGACGGGGGAGAAGAGCGGTGAACTTATTTCTAACTTTATCTGACTTATTTAATTTTATTTATTGTTTGTATCGTCCTGCAGGCTCTGAGATCAAATAAAACTGAAGCTGAGTTTTTGAAAAAAATCACGAGGTTGCTCTAACCATCTGTAAACCTGCAAAATGAGGGAAAATCTGTGTAAATTACTGACAATCTGTTCACGTGAGCAGTTGTCAGCACCTGTCAGACGCACGACGGAGCGCGCGTCTGAGCCAATCGCCTTTTTTTTCACTGATCAGCTGACTGATTTAAATACATCTTAACATTCATGAGATACTTTACATTGACTGCTTATGGTTGAGTGTGGGCATGTAGAGGGCGGGACCTCATGCACAAACTGAGGTGCAGATGTGATCTATAAAGGAAATGTGCGCAGAAACATGCGTATGCACGGTTTTATAAATCTGATTTTTAAAATTTATTTATTCATTTATTTTTTTGTTGTATGCCGTTTTCGCCTTTTGGCCGTACATTCACTTTTAGGATGGTTTCCACACAATCCTTTATAAATCTGACCCCAGAGACTGTTGTAGGTATCACAACAACAGTCTGTAGGACTGCCCTATGCCTGGATTAAACATCAACCGTCTGGAGAGAGCTGATAGACTGTAGACAGGCACGGGAACTGATAAACGGCCCAAATCTTAGGGGGAAGTTCTCATCGTCCTGACAAGGAAAACTTATATAAATGTACTGGTTGGAGTCCTAACTGGGCACAATCTGCTCAACCGCCACAAAATGGTGATGGGACTCCATGACAATGGTCTGTGTGACGTCTGTGGCATTGAATTAGAGACCTCTCTGCGCTACTTAGGCCACTGCCTGGCTCTGAGCATTCAAAGGAAAATAATTATTTGGGACCCCTTTATGGAACACTGAGTGTTTCTAACCTTGTGTCATTCATTCTGGTGGATGAAAAGATTTGATTAAAGCTCAGTGTGTTTTTGAGGGGAGAACAATAGGCCCACTTATGAGGCCCCTGCTCATATGGGTTCTTTATCCATCCCCACTTACCATAACCATAACCATATGTCGATACCTGAGTGCAGCAACATTCAGTTCTATCTTTCTGTTCTGTTATCTACAGGCCAGCAGAGATCCACTGCCTCCTGAGGGCATGAATGATATCTTTGAGGACGTTAAAGATATGGGAGTCCTGATTGGCAAAGGAGGAATTTATGGACAGGTAAAACACCCACCTTCTACATTCATGTCAGTCAATTTATTTGCCGAACTAGCAGCTAAAAGAAACAAATCTGTCATCTGCACAGGACAAAATAATATCTCAGTTGTCAATTTTTTTTATTTATTTATTTATTTTAGTTTAGAATGCTGAAGCCATTAATTTCTGTAAATGAACACATCACATAGTGTGACAGTTACTGGTCAAAGAAGGAAAGTTTTACCAGTACCGAAGAGTCATTACCATTCTTTACAGCTACCATGCAGCAAAAATATTTCTTTCTACCTCTGTAATTTGGAAACAAAAAACCTTTGATGTGACTTTTTCTTAGACGTGCCTACAAATAAGTTGTCCCTAAATTTGATGTGTTTTCAGGTGTTGAAATAAGTAGTGAAACTGGACTCACCGTGAAGTTCAAAAGAGCTCCTGTAGCGTGTAACAGTGGACATCCTTCGGTATTCACAGATGATAAGACACTGAAGTGTTAAACAATAATAAGATGCTTAGGTATATTTTAAGCCATTAAGCCAATTAGAGTAAAGCAAAGTAGCTTTTTACATAGTCTGCTTTGAAGCTAATGCGTTTCTTCATTTCAACACATTAAGAGCTCAGGTTCCATAGTGTTAACTCAGGTTAATGTTATAGACTTGGCCAATAACACAGAGCAGAGGATAGTGGAAGGCAATTAAATATGTAAGCTTTCATGCAGGATGTTAGTTTAGAACTGGCCTTGCCTAATTGTTTTATTTTTTATTTTTTATTTATGTTCTTCACTTTCATAATTTCTCCTGCCACATACAAATACTAACGTATCTAATTCACTTTAACCTGTGAGTGGTTAATGTTTGAAGTTAACAAATGTTGTACGTGTTATGGTTAGGGTTAGATGTTATATAAAAATTCATTTAGGTTGGAAAATTATATGATTTATCGGTTGCAGCTCCTCCTATGTCTTGTAAATACTGCCTACACAAACCGACGGCCAAGTGAAAATTTTCCATTTCCTCATTTTTATTCATCAGTTCTTTTGGTTTGGAGATGAGGATAAATTTGTCTATTACATGTTTTCTAATAAGAGTCGAGTCAATTTGAATCAACAAAGATTCATATTCACATATTTATACTAGTTTGTTTCCAGTCTCTGTAACCTTTTAGGAAGAGCATGTTAGGTAATTTTGCCTCCAGTTCTGTTCATCGGTGATCTCTTGAAAAAAGCCATTCTGATGTAAAGAATTCTATGAACAACAGGATCTGAGACTGGTCACACAACCCGGTGCTTTTTGACTAAATACAATATGTTTGAAATATTTTTTTTTAATTTTAAACAAATGCCAGTACCCATTTACAGCATGCTTACTTGTGAACTTTGTCAAATGAAAAATAAGTAAAATAGCATGAAAAGTACTTAATTTAAAACTATTCCTCTGGGTTTCTCCTTTTTAATTTAGTATTTATTGAATATTTTACTGTAGTTTAGCTATAGAGGCTGAAATAAGAAATAAATAAAGCTGATGGGGTGGAGATATGATGAAGCCCTAAAACATCAGAGAAACTCAAAAGCTAATACAGGGAAAGGAACATTTCATGGTAACCACAAAACCAGGAGCAACTAGACAACATAGCTATAATTTTTAGATTAAGTTGAAGCTAAATTAACAACATAAGAAAAAAACTGGACTGAAAATATGCTGAAATTATAGAAAACAGGACAGATGAAGTCATGAGGCATAATGAAGAATGACTACTGGAGAGAGATTATCAAAAAAAGAGTAGGACATAAAACAATTTCACATTTTAATGGATCCCACTTAAGATGTGAACAAGGTTGTGAGAAACAGATACAGACAAAAAAAGACGACACTTCAGAAATGAGAATGAAGCACAGACTAAAGCTGAAAATGAAGAATGCAATCAAACTTAGTCAAAATTAAGCCAAAAAGCAATGGCAGAACCCAATTACTGTAACTAAGTAAAACAAAAAGCAAAACCAAAGTAGTCTCCACATTTTATAAAAAGATTCAACATAATGCAGTACCTGTCTGTGCTCAGTATGCGTCATATAGAAGAGGTTGCCTGAGCTGGTAATTTCTGCAGAGTTTTCATTCCTTTCTATTTTTCCTCTTCTGAAGACCTTTCGCATCAAACCCCCCATGTGCATCACAAAGGAAGATGCAGATTTCTTCTTGGCTGTTTTCAGCAAGTCTGTCCACAACTACATGGAAAGAAGATGAAACCTCAAAGGTCAGCAAAGTCGAGGACCAAACCTGAGCATCTGCACAGTGGATTACATTTTTTATACATCTTTTAAAATTTGAATATGTCAGTCAGTATTAGTTAGAGAAACCAGTATCTTTGTAAATTCATTTGCTGCTATTGTAAAAGTAGGTTTTAACAAACAATTTATTAATCACAAATTGCAGTTGTTTTCTGATCATTAGCAGTATATTTGCAAAATTGTAGTAAATTTACTTTACTAATGATTCAAGCAATTTCTCCAGTGTGCCTTTTGACAGTCTTGGAAATCTTGTAAAGATTTGTTTTCATATTAATAACAAATCTTTATTTTTTATTTTTTTTTTTCAAATTTGGTTTATTGTTAGGCTAACAGTCAGCCATGTGTTGAATAAATGCATTTGTTCCTGTGTCTAATTATTTATTTTCATTGGAATTTTATTTGATACAGTTTAATAAATCTTCTGAAGTGAAGGACTTAAACTTTAGGAAAAAAGTATAAACAGTATTATTTATATTGTTATAATGCTTAGTAGTCTGAACTTGTATAGAGCTTAATCAAGTCCCTATAGACTTACACACATTCACACATTGATGGTGGCAAGCTACATTAATAATAATAGTAAAAATAATACTAAAAACCTTACATTCTTTGAAGGAATGTTAGCAGATGGATGGATGGATGGATGGATAGATGGATGGAGGAATGGATGGATGATGATGCATGGATGTTTGGATGTTTGGATGATGCATGAATGGATGATGGATGGATGGATGTTTGGATGGATAATGGATGGATAGATGTTTGGAGGGATGGATGATGGATGTTTGGATGGATGATGGAGGGATGGATGATGGATAGATGTTTGGATGGATGGATGTTTGGATGATGGATGGATGGATGGATAGACAGATGTTTGGATGGATGGAGGGTGGGTGGATGGATGGATAGATGTTTGGATGGATGGATGATGGATAGATGGAGGGATGGATGGATGGATGGATGATGAAAACAGCAGGATGATGTTAAAAACCTACACTAATAACAAAATATATTACACAAATGTATAAAAGGAAAAGTGAAAAAAAAGACAACATTTTAATTTATACTAAACCACTGGTCACCATCACCATGGACTTCACTGTCCTGGCCTTTGGAAAGATTTACATAAACATTCCGATCTCAACAACCAGATTCTTTAGCAGCTTTCCCCCCTCTGGCCATCGGGCTGCTAAACACTCTGCTATTCCGCCTCCTACCAACACATTAACTTGCTCCACTCTGGACTGTACCCTGAACTGTTCCACCCACCTATAACACCACAGTTGTCTCTACTTGTGCATGTTTATTTGATTTGTCTTCAGTTTTATTGTTTTAATGTGTAGACATTCTTTCAAGGCTTTGTAACAAGCTGATACCACTCACATAACTCCCACAAGGATCGACTGGCCGCTCAGAGGGCGACCAGCTAATAACCTGGAATCTGCCCAGTGTGTGCTGCTGGTCCTGTTCATCCATGTGAAGAGGCAGAGAGATCTTAGTGGTTTTACGAGACTGAAAAGACATCGTTTTCAGAAAACCTCTGAAGCTGATGTGAGTGTCAGACACTTCAGGGAAAAGAGCGACGGTAGACACTCCATACTTGTTCAAGATGTACAAAGTAGTGTAACAACAAAGAGGCCACTATTAACAGGCCAGACCAGCTGTTCATTCAGATTGGCTATTATTCACCAGGGAAACTGTGTTTCCATGGAGATGGGCAATTGAAATATTTATTAGATAATGATTTATCACTCATGTTGCCATCAGATTCTGCCGTTCATTTTTTAAATACAACTGCAAGACTATAGGGTCAAAAGATAAACATTAATTTATCATACAGCGAGTAAAATAAGTATTGAACATGTCAACACTTTTCTCAGTAAATATATTACTAGAGGTGCTAATGACATGAAATTTTCACCAGATGTCGGTAACAACCCAAGTGATCCATACATACAAAGAAATCAAACCATAAATGTCCAGAAATGAAGTTATTTGTAATAATGTGGAATGGCACAGGGAAAAAGTATTGAACACATGAAGAAAGGGAGGTGTAAAAAGGCATGGAAAGCCAAGACACCAGCTGAACTCTCTCAGTAATTAGAAAACAAGCCTGCCCATTGTCAGTGCAAGTTAATATCAGCTGGTTCAGTCCCAAATGATGGCCAGGTATCACACAAGAACCATCTGATGATGGGTAAAAGTAAAGAGCTCTCTCAAGARCTTCACAACCTTATTGTTGCAAAGCATAATGATGGCATCGGTTACAGAAGAATGTCTAAACTTCTGAAGGTTCCAGTGAGCACTGTTGGGGCCATAATTCAGAAGTGGAAAGAACATTATTTCACCATAAACCGACCACGACCAGGTGCTCCTCACAAGATTTCTGACAGAGGAGTGAAAAGAATTATCAGAAGAGTTGTCCAAGAGCCAAGGACCACTTGTGGAGAGCTTCAGAAAGACCTGGAATTAGCAGGTACGATTGTTTCTAAGAAAACAATAAGTAATGCACTGAACCACCATGGCCTGTATGCATGCTCACCACGCAAGACTCCACTGCTGAAGAAACAGCATGTTGAAGCTCCTTTAAAGTTTGCTGCATAATATTTAGACAAGCCTGTGTAATACTGGGAGAATATAGTCTGGTCAGATGAGACCAACATTGAACTGTTTAGATGCCAGAATACACATCATGTTTGGAGGTCAAATGGCACTGCACATCAGCCCAAAAACACCAGTGAAGTTTGGAGGTGGGAACATCATGGTGTGGGGCTGTTTTTCAGCATATGGTAGTTGGCAAACTTCAAATAATTGAAGGAAGGATGAGTGGAAAAATGTACAGAGACATTATTGATAAAAATCTGCTTCCATCTACCAGGATGATGAAGAAGAAACGTGGCTGGACATTTCAGCAAGACAATGAGCCCAAACACAAAGCCAAGGAAACTCTCAGTTGGTTTCAGAGAAAGAAACTAAAGCTGCTGGAATGGCCCAGCCAATCACCTGACCTGAATCCAACAGAAAATATATGGAAAGAACTAAAGATCAGAGTTCATAGAAGAGGTCCACGAAACCTTCAAGATTTGAAGACTGTTTGTGTGGAAGAATGGGCCAAAATCACACCTGAGCAATGCATGCCACTAGTTTCTCCATACAGGAGGTGTCTTGAAGCTGTCATTGACAACAAAGGCTTTTGTACAAAGTATTAGATAAATTTCAGTAAGTGTGTTCAATACTTTTTCCCTGTGCCAATCCACATTATTACAAATAACTTCATTTCTGGACATTTATGGTTTGATTTCTTTGTATGTATGGATCACTTGGGTTGTTACCGACATCTGGTGAAAATTTCATGTCATTAGCACCTCTAGTAATATATTTACTGAGAAAAATGGTGACGTGTTCAATACTTATTTTACCCGCTGTACATAGGGTGTATGTTTACCTTAACGAACAATATGAAATAAAGATTTTAAACCACAAACCAGATTAAATGTTGACTGGATGATTTGAAATGTCTGAAAATAACATAAGATCAACACACAATGTTGTGTATTTTTCTAAAATAAATGCCCAGAATTATTTTTGTTGTTTATGTGCAGTGGTGGGCACAGTTCCACTAAAGCACTAACAGGGGAACTAATTTCCTTATTAGTGCTTTAGGGCTTTTGCTAATTTTAAAATTTATTTGTGGATTAGCACTTGCTAAATTTAGAGGCTAAATGTAGAAACACTAACAGGTCTATAAATGTTATTGATCAACGTTAATGTTAATGCTGTCACACATTTTATTCATGTGTGTCACTTATCCACCAGGTGACAATATACAGTATAAACTCAAATACAGCTGTGGAATATCAATGATAAGTCTAAAGAGAGCAACATGACAATATGTGACTCGTGTTGTCTGTTGAATATTCATGGGTTGACTGGGTTATTTTAGTGCTTTAGAATTTGCTTTTGCAATTTTTTTTCAGTGCATTAGTGCTTTAGAATTAGGGGACCTACAGTGACTTGTGAAAGTATTCAGCCCCCTCGAACTTTTCAACCTTTTGCCACATATCATGCTTCAAACATAAAGATATAAACTTTCAAATTTTTTTTTGTGAAGAATCAACAAGTGGGACACAATCATTAAGTGGAACAATTTTTTTGGATACTTTAAACTTTTTAACAAATAAAAAACTGAAAAATTGAGCGTGCAAAATGATTTGGCCCCCTTGCGTTAATACTTTGTAGCGCCACGTTTTACTGTGATTACGGCTGCAAGTGGCTCGGGGTATGTCTCTATCAGTTTTGCACATGGATAGGCTGAAATTCTTGCCCATTCTTCCTTGCAACACAGCTAGAGTTCAGTGAGGTTGGCTGGAGAGGGTTTGTGAACAGCAGTTTTGCATTGTGGCCTAAAAGTTTGATTTTGGTTTCATCTGACCAGATCACCTTCTTCCTTCTTCCACATGTTTGGTGTGTCTCCCAGGTGGCTTGTGGCAAACTTTAAATGAGACTTTTTATGGATATTTTTTGAGAAATGACTTTCTTCTTGCCACTCTTCCATAAAGCCAGATTTGTGCAGTGTACTACTGATTGTTGTCCTATGGACAGACTCTCCCGCCCCGCCCCTCAGCTGTAGATCTCTGCAGTTCATCCAGAGTGATCATGGGCCTCCTGGCATCTCTGATCAGTCTTCTCCTTGTTCCAGATGGAAGTTTAGAGGGACAGCTGGGTCTTACTAGATTTGCAGTGGTCTGATTCTCCTTCCATTTCAAGATGATGGATTGAACAGTGCTCCGTGAGATGTTCAAAGCTTGGGAAATCTTTTTATATCCAAACCCAGCTTTAAACTTCTCCACAACAGTATCTCAGATCTGTCTGGTGTGTTCCTTGGTCTTCATGATGCTCTCTATGCTTTAAACAGAACCCTGAGACTATCACAGAGCAGGTGCATTTATACAGAGACTTGATCACACACAGGTGGATTCTATTTATCATCATCAGTCATTTAGGTCATCACTGGATCATTCAGAGATCCTCATTGAACTTCTGGAGTGAGTTTGCTGCACTGAAAGTAAAGGGGCCAAATAATTTTGCACGCCCCACTTTTCAGTTTTTTATTTGTTAAAAAAGTTTAAAATATCCAATAAATGTTGTTGCACTTCACGATTGTGTCCCACTTATTGTTGATTATTCTCAAAAAATGTAATTGTATATCCTTATGTTTGAAGACTGAAATGTGGCAAAAGGTTGAAAAGTTCAAGGGGGCCGAATACTTTAGCAAGGCACTGTAAATATTTGAGTTAGTGTTTTAGGGCAAGTGGAACTATTTTTTGATTAGTGCTGCCCACCACTGTTTATGTGTGTATGTGTTCATGTTTTATCT